ATTGACCTCTGATACCAGTGTTTTAGTAAATTGACTGTGCAGTTTAAACTTGTGGAACCAGCCTGTACTAAACAAGCATTCTTTGTCAGGCCTTCCAAACTACATGGTTTTATAGTATGTAATTCGTTCCAAGATGTCAGAATACACCTAACCTTCCCTTGGATTCTTTTTGTTGTTTAAACACTCTGAGATTTTCTGAGTGATAAACCATCACAGACTGCATCTTGAAATATCCAAAGGCATTGGTACACAGCAGCAGAGTAAGCCTATCTTTCATAGGCAGGCAGGTAGGGAGGCAGGGAGGGAGGGAGGGAGGCAGATTAGTAAGGAATTGTAGACTTAGTATTATCACTCTTGTTGTCACTGTCTCTCACTGTCAACCTCTTGTACATGTATGGTCTCCCTCCCTCTCATCCACCGCTGCCCCTCCCATTCGCCTCCAACACACCCTTCACCATCACTCCATATAAGATCTTTTCATCACCCTGTCTTGTCTCAGGGCTGAGGACCACCCATGCCCACTGTTTATCACACACGTATTGTATATCAGATTTTTCATTGCAACTCAAAACTAAATTTCTTTTTGAGGGCAAATTGTAACTCAAATTTATTGTAACTCAGCCCATCGTAACTCAAGGGACCACTGTACTCCAAGGCTTTTTTTCTGTATTAGGATGAAATTAAGTGGTGCACCTTTCTTGGTTTTTTGCTCACTCTACTCACTCGGTAACTTTTTCTGTCTTATTTAGCTATTGTGGCCTATTTGTCATTTTTTTCAGAAAGTCAAAATCTTCTAATTGTGCAAATTAATGCCTCATTCAGACTATAGGCTCATGTAGTCTACACACATACAGCACTTTTAAACTGATTTTGGATCTCAGTTTTCTTCATAACATCAAGACTTTCGTGCTTATACTTTTTCATTGTACTTCTGGGATTACTCACATTGCTCTTGGGTGCTGTGGTTGCTAACTAGAGATGAGAAAGGATGATGAAAAGATAAAATAATGATTCACAAACACAGGCTGAGTATGGTATTGGATGATGAATGGAGCACTAAGGTGAGGGAGGTTTACATTATGTAGGCCCTCCCATAAGACAATGGGCTTGCCTGTGGGTTTGGTGTGAGATGGAGGGAAAGAACCTGGCACAAGCCACATTTTCACCTACATGTATTCTGCCATGTAAACTGATTAATATGATGTGTTCATTGAAATTATGCCACAATTTTGCAGCAGTGTTAACTCAGAAAAGTGTTAACACGTTGTGTGTTAACCAACAGTTTACTGTGTACATGTATTGTGTTGGATCAGGTAGGTGTCCAGTTACTTGTGGATTAATCTCTCATTTATTTTTTAAATGCAGGAAGATTGGAGATTGGTGTGTAGTCATTAACAATGGTTGAATCACCACCTTTGTGGACAAATATAATCCTGGTTCTCATGAGGGCATCCAGGAAGGTTTGTTCTTCTAGTGATTTGTTGGAAGTATTGCAACAGCTGGAGATAATACTTGTACAGCTGTTTTTCTAGATTATTGTTGGTATCTCAGTTGCATTTCTACCAGTATTTTTGAGTGATTTTATTATTGAAGCTATTTCCACAGGGGTGGTATGAGCCAAGTAGAAAGAATTAGGATAGTTGCCTGTCAGTTGTTGGCTTGAGTTTCTGGAATGTTATCTGCAAGATATGTTCCTACTGTAGAACAGAAGTCATTAAGTTGGGTTCACTGGCTTCAGTGACTCCATCATCCCATATGACCTGATCTTCCCATTTCATCTGAGTAGCTTGAGAATCGTCATTCTCCTCCTCTTCTCTTTCTCCATCTCCTCCTCTTCTCTTTCTCCTCCTCCTCTTCTCTTCTTCCTCCTCCTCCTCCTCCTCTGCTCTTCCTCCTCCTCCTTTGCTCTTCCTCTTCCTCCTCCTCCTCTTCTCTTTCTTCTCCTCCTCCTTTGTTTACAACAAAGGCTTTCTTTACCTTGCTAGGCAATTCACTTGACAGTTGGTAAAGACAATAGTTGAGAGAGATCATATAAGCCCCTCCTGAGTCATTCACATAGAGTATCTACAGTACTTGATGAGCCTAGCAGTTATCAGAAAGTTACTATTTTAGTATGTACTAATAACTTTGATTAAGACTCATCAGATTAAAGTTTATTAGGCAAAACATATCCTTTCATCAAGTTTCATTATCAGTGAAAAGTTTCATAGAATGTTTTTTTTTAAATATCACATTAATTGTTATGCACTAAGAGTGACAGGAAAAGTCAAACTCCTCTCAGTAAATTAGCTAGACCGAAGTACAGGCATACCTCATTAATATGGCACTCACTTTAGAGCACGTTGCTAATACAGCGTTCACTTTAGAGTGCATCGCTAATCCGGCACTTGCTTTAGAATGCATCGCTAATACAGCATTCACTTTAGAGCATGCTGCTAATATAGCACTCTCTTTAGAATGCCTTTGCTAACATTGCACTTGCTTTAGAATGTGTCGCTAATATGGCGCTTTCCAATATTATCCCTGTTTATTATTTTTGGCGCTGGCCTTGCTCTTAACCCTTTCAGTGTTTTTTTTTTTTTTTCAACAAGTCGGCCGTCTCCCACCGAGGCAGGGTGACCTAAAAAGAAAGAAAATCCCCGAAAAGAAAATACACCTACCATCCGACTTACGACCTGCTCGACTTAAGACCACTCGACTTATGACCGTGTTTTTTATGCCAAATTTCTGGGAAATAAGCAGCTATTTGTGTTGTACACAGTGTTTATCCTAAACCTTACAGCAACTTCGCAGTGTATGTATTTGTGTATGGTTTTTATGATTTTCTTCTCGTTTTTTTGGTCTCATTTGATAGAATGGAAGATAAATTACAGAAATAGAGATGATTTTGATTGGTTTCAGGAATGATAGTAGTCTGAAATTGAGCTCAAAGTAGCGGAAATGTTCGATTTTTGCCGATATTCCAGAGTACACAAATGATGTCACTTGTCCAATACATGCCCAGCTTGCCAGCCTAATATGCATTTAGGAATGCATTTACATTATTTATGCAGTTATTACAATAATGCATAACAGTAAATTATTTTTTTGTGTGAATAAAATTAATTCAAAATGGAAAGGAGATGTGACTAAGGAACAGAGGAAATGTTTTTTAGTGCCAAGAATGTCTGCATTGTTTATTCTGGATCCTGTTTTTAAATTGGCAATTTTTAATTTTGTGTGAATGGGGGTAGTTACTAAAATAGGTAAAGGGCATTTTTTTTACTCAATAAATAAATAAAAGAAATCTAGCAATATAGCTATGAGTTTGGTTGATTGGAACAATGGAATTGGCCAAAAATACTGCACGAAGTGGGTGAAATCACCGATGTGTAAATATCGCCTTGAGTGCTAACATTGCAAGAGCATAATTCCATAAGTTTTCCATCAAATTTCTTGCTTTTCTTTTCATTACCTTCAGAAAAAGATTCTCTGTCATTTCATAAGATTAAATTTTTTTTTTTTTAAATTCTCGACCCTGTGAGCAAGTTTAAGATCAGGGGTCTCGACCCTGAAAGGGTTAAGATGGTTTTTGGCAATTTTCAGATTCTTTTTATTTATTATTCTTACTTTTGCATCATCTTTCTAGGTCTAGTGCTGTTGCACACTTAATAAATGATAGAGTAAACACATTTTTACAATTGAAGATTTCTCCTCAGGTGCTGGATGAAACTGGTAATCAGGATTTGTGTTTCTACAACTTCTGGTGTGCTCATCCTCTTGGTTCACTCAGTGATTTTAACCATGTTTTTTCAAACACTGGTTATATCCTCTTCGGTGTACTGTTTGTTGTAGTGTGCGCTCGTCGCAACCACCGTCATGCTCGTGCTGTGCAAATTGATTATAAAATTGATAAGGTAAGAATCTTGTGATGTAAATAAAACGTCTTGTGACTTGAAAACAACTATGGTAACATTTAAAATTTTATTTAATTTTTTATGTTTGTAATTTCCATCTCTTTTGTCTGAATGAGGGTTACATAGAAATTCTACTTGAATATATTGTCTTAGGTGTCAGCTCTTTTGTATCACCTCCCCCCATCAATGTTACTAGTAACTGTAACCTGAGATCCACATACACTCCAAGCACAACCACCTTTTTTTCAGACACATAATAAACCCCACAAAATTTCGACACATAATTACCACCACACACCCCACACACACACACACACACACCACACAAAACAAAACACCCACACACACCACCACACACACCACACACACATACACACCCATGCACACATACACACACATTATCACACACACAAAACCACACACTATATCACACACATATACCCCACATACTACACCACCAACACATACCACACCACACCATACACACACACACACCCCATGCGCGCACCACACACACACGTGTGCGTGCACACACACCACACCCCACACACACACACACACACACCACACACCACACACACACACACCACACACCACACCCCACACACCACTGTAATACGTCGGGTCAGTCCCAGAAGGTGGGGGCTTCACAAAGAAGTTGTGGCACCAAGGACCTCTGAGACTAAAACCCAACTCACAAGCCACCTACCTTCATACATAATAAACCCACACATATTCACACAAAATTACACCACCCACACACTCGTTAACCCTCCCCCTCCCCACCCCTCCCCACTCCTCTCCCACATAGCCACAGTTCCTCCACTACCTCCCCCCCACACTCTGACATACACACTACTAACATAACATGCAGAACTACATAGGTTTCCCACTCTGAGGCAATCAGGATAAAACAAAAATGGGTTGCCAGAGAGCAACAATACATAGTCAATACCAAATTCATTATATTAGACCATAGTGTAATTACTAGTGAGAGTCTGGTGCTATTTTTAATTTGTATTTTTATATTATTAGATTAAACCTAGTTGTACTATAGCTCATTCTAGCTCAATACATAGACTATACCAAAGTCATTACATTAGACCTTAGTGCAATTACAAGTGAGAGTCTTGTGCTATTTTTAATTTGTATTTTTATATTATTAGTTTATACCTAGTTGTACTTTAGCTCATTCCAGCACAACACATAGACAACACCAACTCCATTATGTGTATTAGTGACTATACTCTACATGACCAAAATGCTATAGCTATACACTTGTCCAAACTTCCCCCCACTACGGATTCAGTACTAAAACTAACCCACAACTCTGGATATAAATAACTATAATTTAAAACCTAGAAGATGATTGATCAGTCGACCTGATCTAAACCTCATAATCTGACACACAATCAAACCTATTGGAAAGTAACTGCCTTTACTACACGCATCACAAGCCAGCACTATCCTAAACAATGCTAAAGTCTATCAGTACTTAACTACAACATTAGGTCCTTAAGCAACACTATGATGACCCCCCTGGCATCCTTGATTCACTAAAGACACCCTTCCCCTGCATTATTTTACTGAGACCTGGCTTAAGCAGGACACAATAGATATCTACCCTTACCGGATACACAGCAATCCACAGCTGCAGACCATACCAAGTTGGGGGTGGTATTGCAATCTATTTCTCTAACCAATTATCTTGTATTAGCACCACTTGCTTTAGTGATGAATATGGAGAATACATTTTTGCTAATTTTACTGTAAAAAACCTTAAGACGCCTATTACAATCGGTCCCATTTACCAGATACCCCACACAAACATCCCAAATTTCAGTGAAAAAACTAAAGGCACTAATAACAAACAGACAAATGAATAAGCACCACCTTCTTTTAGTGGAGACTTCAACATCAACCTTGGCCTACTAGATGATCACCCTGTAACTGATTTCATCAAAATATGAAAAACACACTTCTCTTCCCAACAGTAAAAAACCAACCGGCTCACTGAAACAAGTGCAACCATAATAGACCACTATGGATAAATTGTACTACCCCCCCTTAAATCAGGGATAATATAGATAGCACTACAGACCACTTTCCCCACCTTCCTCTTGACAAACATTAGTAAACCACCACTTGAATACAACAAAGTTTCATTTAGACTCCATGACGAGGCCTCAATAAGGAAGTTCACAGCTGACCTAGAGACTGAACATTAAAATGGTATAAAATACCGACAGGTTGTTAGGTAAGACACATATACAACAGTTAGGTACTTTATTTCGAAACGTTTCGCCTACACAGTAGGCTTCTTCAGTCGAGTACAGAAAAGTTGATAGAAGCAGAAGAGACTTGAAGACCTCAAAACTTTAAGGGTGATGGACTGATTACATCGTCTTCAAGTCTCTTCTGCTTCTATCAAATTTTCTGTACTCGACTGAAGAAGCCTATGTGGGAGGCGAAACGTTTCGAAATAAAGATACCTAACTGTTGCATATGTGTCTTACCTAATGACCTTGAGACTGTTGACTGGCCTACAGAATTCCAAGGCCAATGGTATTGATGACTGGACAGACATTTTTCTTAACAAATTACTTGACTATACAACAAACATTGTCCTATAAAAACGAAACAGATCACAAACAAACGGCTTGGTTGCCCATGGCTAACCAGCACCATTCTGAAATCCCTTGATAAGAAACACCAAAATGAAAAGCAATATAGACAGGCTTAATACACAAAGATATTCTTAAACACTATTCATCAGTCCTCACCAAAGTATTAAAGAAAGCCCAAAAAAATTACTACTCCAGTTTGATTTTACTGACACAAGAGGGGGTATAAAAAAGACATGGGAAAACACTCTCTCAGATTCTAGGGACCCACAAACTGAAAAAAAAACAAGAATATTGCCCTAACTAAACCTAATGAAACAACACTGGGATCCCACTGACACAGCTAACAAGATAAAGACTTCTTCTCAACATAGGTTTTAATCTCGCCAATAAAATCCCCCGCACCATTTCCCATTTCGGGGACTACCTAGATGGGAATTTCCCCATTCCTTCTATCTTGCTCCCAAATGAAACCCATGGGAAATCACCGAGATTATAAAATCACTTAAAATTAACTCAGGGAATCTGTCTCATGTCCCCCCATTATTATACAAGAGGCGGCCCATGTCCTCTCGCATGCCCATCTCATTACTTTTTAACAAGTCACTAGAAACTAGCACCTTCCCGAAACTACTCAAGACGGCAAGGGTTACACCAATACATAAAGGTGGTGGACCCTACAGATTTAAAACAACTATAGGCCAATATCAAACTTACCATTGCTATCCAAAATCTTTGAGAAACTCTTTGCACAGGGGGACTATATTCATTTATAACGGCACAAAATACTCAACCCCTGCCAATTTGGATTCAGGAAAAATAAAAGCACAAAACGATGCAATCATAAAATACTAGATCTGCTTTACACAGCATTGGAAAATAAGGAATTATCCACTAGGAATTTTTATTGACCTAAAAAAAGCTTTGACACAGTAGGACCACGGCATCCTACTCCACAAACTTGACCATTATGGTATAAGAGGCCATGCGCTTGCATATTTCAAATCTTACCTTACTAATAGGTATCAGTAGGTCCCCTTTTAAAGACACAGCATCAAAAAACACAGTCACTTGATACTGGAGTTCTGCAGGGAAGTGTCCTTGGTCCCTGCCTTCCTCCTATACATCAATGATCTTCCAAACGTATCTCAACACCTGAACCCATTCTCTTTGCTGACGACACGACTTATGTCATCTCTCACCCTAATCTTGCCACCTCAACACCAATTGTTAATGAGGAGCTAATCAAAATATCAACTTGGATGACAGCCAATAAACTTACGCTTAACACTGACAAAACCTACTACATTATGTTTGTTAGCAGAGCAGGAGATGCGCAAATTAACATTAAGATCGACAACACTCTAATTGCCAGGCATAATGAGGGCAATTCCTGGGCCTATACCTCGCAACAACCTGAACTTTAGCACCCATTACCCAAAACACATAACCAAAAAAGTATCAAACGGTTGGGATCCTCTCCAAAGATACGATACTACGTGCCGCAAACTGCCCCTCTCACACTATACCATTCACTTATATATCCATACCTCCACCCATGCTATCTGTGCTTGGGGGTTTAACTGCAGCAACACACCTAAAGCCCCTAAAACCCCAAAAAAAAGCCGCAGTAAAAAAATCATAAATCCCATCCTGGCAACACCCCCCCCCCCCTTCTAGATCTAAACTTACTCCCCGTTCGTACATCCAAACCCTTTCTACTGTGCAATTTTTCTCTACGGGCCTTAAATTCCCAAAATTTTCCCTTTCAGGGTTTTCCCTCCCCTAGATTCGGCTTTACGGTGAGTGTCCAAACGTGTTACGCCTTTTGGTAGCTCACTTGATAAACTGTGAGTGGTACTTTGGGCCCAGATAGGAAATACATTATGTGGTTTGTGCACCCCTAAAAAAAGATCCCGAGCACACTGTGTATAATGAGAGAAAAAAAACTGAAATATGATTTTTCGATTAAAACAGCACTTTTTCAGTGTTTTTTTTGTATGTTTTTTTAGTTGTATTTTCATTTTTTGGTCTCATTTATGAATGGAAGACTATTACAGAAATAGAGGGTGTTTTTTATTGGTTTTAGCCTGGGAAAAGGGTTGAAAGAGCTCAAGTAGCGGAAATGTTAAATTTTTGCCCATATTTTAAAAGGGAAAAAAACGACCTCACAGTTAATAAAGTCAGGGTGGGTCTAAAATACATTCACAATTGGGATGATATTTATACAATTATTACGTATTGCATAACAGTAAAACTTTATTTTTTTTGGTGTGAAAAAAAATTTATTATGTGAAAAAAAATCAAAATGGAATTTATTTGTAAAGCCTCAAAAAATAACTAATGAACAGAGGAAATGTTAGTTTAGTGCCAGGA